TGTGTGTGTGTGTGTGTGTGTGTGTGTGTGTGTGTGTGTGTGTGTGTGTGTGTGTGTGTGTGTGTGTGTGTGTGTGTGTGTGTGTTCAATATATGTATTTATATTTTACGTTGAAAGTTTAAGATGCCAAAGGACATATTATAAAATTCTTTGGAATCGATTCCGATCGGAATAATTCCGTTTTCCGTAGGAAAGACAATAACAATAATAGAAATATCTACGGAATATATATAACAGAAATATTTCGATCGATTCTGAAGAATCCCATAACACGTACCCTGGCATCTTGCCGTAACCATCTTATGACATCAGAAACAAGGAAATGCACATTAATAGGTTTATTCTTTTTAGCTTAATTGTCTGAACTGGTGCAATAAGTTAGAGTGAGGCAAATTTATTTTATTTCTCTCTAATTTATTGTATCAATGTTCAGTTAAAAAGAGCAAACCTAATGTGACATGTAACCTTCCTTTTTGACCTACATTTCCTCATCATTTTGTCACATTAATTTTATGATTACTTATTGATTGTTAGAGTAAACGGGAAATATTCGGAGTATTTTAAAGACGTACTTAATCGACTGCAAATGTCATTGTTTGAACATATTTCGTTATTTCGACGTACTTTACCGGAATTTTGAACATGCATTTCCTCACTTCCGGCATCATCGATCAAGAGTTTCGCGACCACAAAAGCCTTAAATGTTTGTATTTAGAGGCCAAAATAATAAAGTCCAGGATTAGGTACGTATCTGGGCATGTAACCTCGTGTCTATAACCTTGCTTCAAGACGTAAGCCGTAAGAAATTGACCAACAGTCGATTATTCTTCTAAAAATCAACCATAGTTGGTCAATTTCTTACGGTTTACGTCTTAAAGCAAGATTGTAGACAAGGACTAAAGCACTATTTGTACTTTGGCCTTATTCGCCACATTATCTATACATCCTGTTGACGTATATTATTATAGGTAAAAAATGATTGCGAAGATACTTACGCGATCCTTATCGGCTGCCTGTGCGACGCTAATCCCGTTGCCGCTATTAACTGGTATCTTCGATATATTGTCCGCCATTTTTGAGTCGCCACTGCACTACACGAATTAGAAACTATATATTGCATACAGTTTGGACACGGCTTTCTGTGTGCATCAACGTTGTCGTGCGTTGTTAATAACACAACTCGTAATTATGTATGCTTTCGAGCCGACGCTCGATCACACTTACTGACTGCTCCTTCCTCTCTACATCTTTAAAGTACATACACACTATCGAGCCGAGCTCCGAGCCGAAACTCCAAAGGAAGAGAAACAAGATTCTGAGAGGCCGGGACCTGTCACGACATTTACATTTCTACCCCGGCCGGATAATTTCCTCGTAGCGTTTTTGTCCCATCAGAAATGATCGATGAGATCATCGTTCTGCTTAGTATTATCGGATAATAGTCGAGAGCCAGAAGGTAGGAATATATATTTTACACATATTTTATCCGTCTTGATAAAATGGTGATCGTTTGGAAACTGAGACTCGTTAATTTTATGTGAATAAACATGACAAATTGAACATGGTCAGTAAAAGATGAATAAATACATGTGTTGGAGTTGTGCTCATTTATCGTATCAATAATTTTTCGATGGTGTCCTATGAGCAAGCTTGTGTAACACGAAAATACTGATGATTTGAAGTTTGCATCTTGACATCACGGACTACTCTCGGCTCGACTGGTGTGTATTCCGCTTTAAAGATAATAACAAATCGCGCAACCAATTTTCTTATGCCTTTCTACAAAGTAAATCTTAAGAAAGAAAGATAAAAATTATTTGCAATTAATTTTTCTAACGTCTCTTCATTTCTTTATCTCTTGTGTCGCGTGGCATTGATTATTTAAACAACTCACAGTTGCAGAACTCACATTTTACAGATTCACGTCGCACAGTGCCGCGTGGTATCGTTAGCTTTTCGCGCAAAACGCTGCGGATTCTTTCGTGGTCACGGTTCAGCAGAAAGTAGGAGAAAATTCTGTGAAGAAACGCAAGTTAGTGGAACAAGTGCATCGTGCGCATCTACCGACTGATACTCTGATACGATTCCTGTTGGTGGACGGACTGAAACGAAACAGCAACGGCAAGTCGGTTAAAGCCGGTTATGAAAGCAGTCTCCCTCCTTAGTTTCACGGGGAGACCGTGCGTGTACAGGTTCTCGAATGCCTTTCATTCGTTTCCGCTGCTGCCGTTTTCGCGATCCTAATTCAACGACGAACGACTGCAAGTGCACATTGTTGTAGTCGCGCATAGTCGAAATTATTTTATGCAAGAAGTATCACAAGAAAACACTAATAGTAATAGAAAAAGAAAAACGATAGTTTATTTTGCTTCACTACGATTGTAGGTGTGAATACGTAAATTATCGCGTTCTGTTTACATGCAGAATGTTGATAAGAGATTAATGAATATTGATAAGAAATTAATGATAAGAGATTAATTATTATTGATAAGAAAAATAGAATATAGTTTGTCAAAATTGCAAATTTTACATGTAAATTGTAACTGGACATAATTACTACTGAATAAAACTGCTGTTTGATTTTATTCAACTTACAGAGATAAGCAAAAATACTATTTATACATGGCCGGTTATGCAAAAATGATCCTACAAAATTTATTTTTTATTTTTTGTTAACAAAATAGGTAATCTATATATCTAAACTACTTAAAACAAAAAAGATTTAATATGCCTTATGGGCATCTAAAATTAATTAAAAGAGTTTTATTTTTTACTAGTTGTGCCATTTTTACTAATTGCCTCTTTTTTACCCACTTTTTTAAAGGTTAAGCTTGTCAGTGAATACAATTAAAGAGAAGAAAATTGATTATACTTGACTTCTTGAACGATTATAAAGAATCTTACTGTTATTTATATTTTTTGAATTATGTATTAAATCTTCATCTTTATTTTTCTCGAAATATATTCTATGAAGGTTGGATCATTCTTCCAAATATTAAAAAACACATATCAGTTGTCTTTTATCCAGTGTAATAGGACAAATTATTTGACTGACTTTTTAATTATTTATACTGACATTTTAGTGTGCATAATAGTCCATGCTCTGACGCAGAATCATGCATTTAACGTCGTCAATATGCAAACTATTCGTCTTCACGTTAATATCTTCTTCAAGTTGAACCTGTGTCTTGAATAAATAACGTAGCGATGTTTCTGCCTGTAATATATGTTTATTGTTATATTATGTTGAATACTATATGCATATACCCCATGAAATTTTAAATATTTTATATAAATTTGTGTGAATATATACAACAGTAGATTTTTCAAAAACTTTGATACACGAGTATTCTTTTTTTTCTTTCAGGAAAAATGAAGAGAATTATCGGGTTAAAAATTTTTTTGATTCTTCCGTTGAAACACACTTAAAATTATTCTTGTTAATCAGTAGCAAAAATATTTAAAGTAATGTAAATTTTCATTTTGCTCTTTTCTCTGTTATTTCCTTTTTCTCTTAAAGTGCTCTTCCTTCTAAATTGTCATACATACCTCGCAAAGCATTTGCTGCAAGGTCGCAACGATTTTCCGTAAGACATATATTTCCTTCACGAGATTAGCCTCGGCCAAATCCCGAGTAACTTCTGTCTCCGGGCGCTGACATCGAGATCCTAGTCTCGTGTTCACTAGAGCCATGTAGCCCTCCTTATCAGCTATAGAATTTTTTATTTGTGTGATATTGTCCGACATAGCAGCAATTTGTTTTACTATCTGTGAAAGGATCGATATAATAAAATGTATAGCAGTAAAACTTTCTGATTAACAAGATGTTATAATGAGACGCCACAGACAAGAATAAAAAATTTTAGTACACATTGTAAATTGAACTTTTCAATTTAGCGTACTTCTGAGTGCTGAAGTTCCAATTTCGTTTTAGCCTCTTGGGTTTGCTCGATACGGCGCTTGAAGGCTTTGTTTGTGGCATCTTTTTGTCCATTCAGGCCGTCAATAGTTTGCTTAATAATCATATCGATGTAAGAACGCAATTGTTTTGCGCCATTCATTTGTTTATTTGCGTCAATAACATTGTTGTCTGTTTGCTGTTCCCACTCATTCATTGTCATCCTATGTCAATAATTTATAAACAATTTCTAAGTAATATATTTATTTGTCAGAGAGAAGAATAATTGTTTTCAATATATTTCATCACTTATATAGCTTAATGATAAAAAGAATAGACTTATTTATCAATTTGCCATGAAAGAGAATAATTTATATAATTATTTTCACTTCAATATCATCCAATATCACAGCAAAGGAGAAAAGAAAGAGAATTTCAAAGCTCCTTGTCCTACTATTGCAAAACTCTGGATTTATGCCATCAGAAATGAAAAAATCATGCTAAAAATTTGTAAATTAACATGGTAAAATCATGAGAAAGGAAGAAGGCTATATCACATTAATTTTAAGACTATTAATTGTCAAGGGAAAAAATAATTTTCAGAGTATTTTATCAAATATTCAAGCGATGTGAAATGTTCTCTCATACAAACATCTTTTTACTTGAAAATAGCATGCAAGAATTTTTGACAGATATTTTCTTACTTCTGATGTTATCAATCTACGGTTCCACAGTGGGACTAGGAATTTCAATTATGTTTCTACATTTTCCAGGTGATGTTTGACAAGTTTAATGGATAATAAATATATGTAGATTTTTGCATGGTGAAAATAATATTTTATAATTATGTTACGTACGATGTATCGGGATGCAAAGTACTCTGAATACAAGTATTCAAATTAAAGTCAGTTTCCTTCAAAGCCACGTTACGACGATCGATATGTAGATTACACTCTTTATTTTCATAGTCGTTGTCGATACAGTACAGTGTCGCCTTCATTTTACGAATTTCTTCGCAAATTTCCTCCAAAACGCGTGCCAACAAATTTTCCGCCTCCTGGATCATTTCGCGTTCCTTCAATAATTCTTTTTCGACATCGTCGTGAACCAAATCGATACCTAATCTGTGTTCTCTGTAATACCATCGTACAGAATGTTGAAATTAAATGATGTCTCAATATTCGTGCTTGTGTGTTACGTGGAAAATGTAAAACTTCTGAATGTCAAATTGGTTGAAAAGTGAAGCATGGAATAATAAAATGACGAAGCTAACCTGGCAGCGAGACATTTCTCGCAAATTGCGAGTGAATTTCTTTTCACGGATGTTAGAGTATTCGCGATTCGTTGCTTGTAAGTCAACAGCCCGTCAATTTCCAAAGCGATATCTTTTCTAATCAGCAATAGCTCCTTCTCCCGAAACTCAATGTCGTTCAGTTTTTCTCTTAGCTGATGTTCCGTCTCTTCCTTGTTGGTCTTCACAATTCCCGCGACTGATTCGCACATGCGCTTTGCCTCGATTAAAATCCTGTCTGCTCGTTCCTGTTGCGCCTGAGCACATCGCTGTCTGATTTAACGGAAGTGCGATTACATACGTAGAGCGTTATTTCAAATTATTGTTAGTGAAGTAAAAGTCCATGTGTAAAAAACTTTATGAAATACATGAAAGATTATAGAAGACGGTTTCGTTGAGATTATTTGATCTTTGGGCTGACTCCAAATGCTTCGAGATGTCAAATAAACTAACATGATTGGCTATCTATCGCGCAGAAGCATTTGTAACGCTAAATAGGCTCTAGTCTGTTTACTAAACTTTACAGTCGTACATTTTTTATGAATTGTAGAATGCTCGATTTTGCTATTTCTATTTCTCTTAACATTTAATAAAACTATGCCGATAGATTATTATAAGACTTATTGATACCTGAACTGATTGTTGAGATGCCATTCATCTAATGTAAACTTGGAGGAAGGAGGTGAGGTTATCGTTGACACAAGATTCATCGTTACTTTCGCCAGTACTGCGATTCAGAAATTTTGCCTAACACGAAGGATGGATCACAGATCAGGCAATGAATGTATTCTCAGTGAGAATCGTTCGCAAGGACTGACGTTCCGACATGACATGTTTGTCAGTTCCCAAGGAAACGCTTTCTCTTTTTGCGAGAAAAAAATACATTTTTCTCACTTTAACTCACTGTACCAGTTCAGCAGTATAGCTAAAGAGAACAGACCACTATTTCGAATTTTGTTTATATCGTAAAGTGACAATTTCTATTTTTTTCTTTTTTACAGGACAATAAACAAATTTTAAGTGAAAGAAGTATATTAAGGCTAATGGTGTTTGTTTCAATTTCAAATTTTAGCTTGGAGCTGTGTAAGTTCACTTTTAACTTTATTCGATAAATTAACCTCTTATAATCTGATAATCGTTTTCTTATGATTTAAGAATATGCGAAAATTCGTAGATCGAGTCTTACGTATGTTTTCACGTAGCTGCATCGACGTGATGACGCCGCTTGATTTGAATAAACTCAAGAAAAGAACAGTCCTGTCAGTGCTCGAGCGTCCCAAGAAGAAAATAGACAGATTCGATGGACTGTCAGAGGAAGAGGTGCAAAAGTATACACTGGAAGATTATTTGGAGATAAATCTGGACATAGTTTTTGTTGGGATCAATCCAAGCCTGATGGCAGCACACCGTGGTAGATATTATGCAGGTCCTGGTAATCACTTTTACAAGCTCCTGCACGAGTCTGGTTTGACGCCAAGATTTGTCAGCTTTGAAGAGGACTACAAGCTCCTGCAGTACGGCATTGGTTTGACGAATATCGTTACTCGTGCCACCAGGTCAGCGGCAGATCTCAAGCGAACAGAGATCAAGGAAGGTGCAAAGGTAGTGGAGGAGAAGCTGAGACTGTATAAGCCCAGAGTCGCAGTATTCAATGGCAAATGCATCTACGAAGTGTTTGCAAATATCTCCAGTAAATCCACATTTCACTTTGGATTGCAACCCGAACGTATCGGCGATACTGCCGTTTGGGTGACACCGTCGAGCAGCGCACGATGCGCTCATTTCCCTAGAATGGTGGATAAGCTGCATTTCTATACAGCGTTGAAGAAGTATCTGCATTTTCTCAAGGGTGAGATCACCGACGTGGATGCAAAAGAATTCTACTTTGAGGGGAAATGCAAACAGTCTATACCCAGCACCTCCAAGATGTGGCGACGAAAGGATGTCTCGACTTTCTTGCACGGTGGTAGAGTCGTTAACAAGAAGACGCTCTGCAAAGACACGTCAGAGGAAGATATCGCGGCGATTCACACAAAGGAATTTCTGGTAGAAACGTCTAATGATGAAAGAAATAGTGAAGACGAGGATTCGTCTCTCAATAGAGAAATATATAGTCAAGAAGAAGTAAGTGAAGCATTTAAAGAGGCTGTAGAAAAAACTGAGGAGGAAGGAACAAGGACATTTATAAATGTTAACGGTGTCAATAATGAAATAGTAGTTACTAATGAATCAGAAAAGAAGAAAACCTCCATTAATAGAAAGAAAGATTACAATGCTGTAGTTAGTGATACTTTCAATAGGAAAACTAAAATAGCAAGCTCTAGAAACAATGATAAATATATATCTTCCAAAATCATTCGCAGGACTCTAAAAACTCAAAGTAGCCTTATAAGTAATAATAGAGACAATTCATTGGATTTTATGAGTATAATTAAACAAAAATTATCTGAAAAAAATAACAGTACATAATCTGCGATCTTCAGACTGCTATTTAAAAAGGAAATTATATTTACATTGATAAAATATTATTGCATTTTGAGTATAAATATTATTTTAATAGCATGCCGTTATACAGTATTATATATATCCAATTTTCAACAAGAATTCTTATTATTAAAATATTTGATATATAAAAATAAAGAATATATATAGAGAGAAACAAAACAAAAATTAATGTACAAATTAGTTTTGCATACAGATTGAAAATCATTGTTAACTTGACATTTGTGCTAAGAAAATAAATTTTCAATTAATCTGTTATTTAAAAATAATGTATTTGAAGGGCATCTTGTGTATATGTACAAGTATTATAATAGAAAATATGTATATATTAAAAAAAACAATTTATAAGTATTTACTAAGTTACCTATAATTTTGAAATCTTTATACAGTTATCTTATAAAAGTAATCTTTATACAGTCTCATAATATATAAATTTATCTTATTAAGCTATATTGTAATTTTTTAATATAAATTTTTTTATTAACCTATTGTTAATAAAACAACTTATTATAGATCATTTTTTTTGCTACTTCTATTTAGAGTACAAATTATTACTTAAACATATAATTACACATACAGTCAATAAATTCAGGGGTGATCATAAAATATAAATAATTAATGAAATACATTGAATATTTGCATATAAACAGTGTATAACATCATGTTCACATATATTGTTACACATTTCAGGATTTTACCGCCCAAATCCACCATCAGAGAGGGAGGTTACTTTTTGTTGTATTATTTTACCATAACCACCTCGTCCACTATCGAAATCTGATCGATACTCATCTCTTACCTAGGAAAATAAATTACACATTTTCTTCTATCTTATGCTTGGATCAATCATATGCAAAATATAAATTCAAAGATGAGTACTTGTCCTCCAGTCTTGCCACGACCATACTGTCTACCCTCTATAAAGCCAGCATCCCAATCAGTTCTAATTATTCTGTCATCCAAACGAGTACCATTGATATATCTCATACAGCTCTCTGAATCCATTCTTTGATAATATTCGACAAAACAGAAGCCACATGGTGTCTTCTTGTATTTATCGAGACCCATAATAATACGCCTGATGTCTCCACATTTTGAAAATAATTCATATATCTGCTCTTCTGTAGTATAGAAAGACAAATTGCCCACATATAAAGTTGTAGAATTTCTCAAGAGCCTGTCTTGTTCAGCTCTTGAGCCCTATGGACGAAAATAATAAAAAGAAAATAGTTATATATAGTAGAATAACATTTATACATTCAACAAACACAACAGATGAATAAATATTAGTTAAGTCTGATCTACAATGTGCTCTTTGTTTCTTGTTTTTTGATCACTATCTTTTTCTGGCTAAAATCCAAAGATTTAAGTCAGAAAAAGAGAAAGATACGAGAAACAAAGAGCATATCGTAGATTTAGGTGAGTTTTTTAATTCATCGATGGATCCATCGCATGATGCGTAAATACAGCGAAACATTGCATTTGCGCATCATGCGATGGATCCACCAATGAATTAAAAAACTCGACCTTTATAATATCAGTTTCCAATATATTGCTTTAAGGTTAACTTTTGCAACAAACCTTAAAATGTTGATCACGGTAGGAACTTAATTCAACGGATGGTGAACTACCCGTATTTAATCTGATTGACATTTTAATGTACGATTCAACTTTTATTTATTAAATTGACTTGTTGCCACAGATGTCTACACTATATAAACCTGTTTCAATTTGAAATAATACAAACTCAAAATTAACATTAGAGCATCTATGGAAAAGATTTGAAGTCAACTTTAATGCAGATTCATACTGTGTCTGATGTTCGACGTACGACGTCCGATATCCAATAAGAGAACAGCTTTCTAATAAAGAATTCAATTCTCCATTGGAAAGCTGTTTTTCTATTGGATATCGCACGTCGTACGTCCGACATCGGACACGTGTGAATCCTACATAAGCCAGCGGCACACGATGCTTGTTTTCATGCTGGATTGCTTACTAGATGAAAATACTCTGTTCTGATTGGTGGATTTCTGAAGACGGATTCTGATTGGTCCATCTTCAGAAATGCACCAATCAGAACAGAGTATTTTCATCTAGTAAGCAATCCAGCATGAAAACAAGCATCGTGTGCCGCTGGCTTATGGCTCCTGCACACAGGACGCGGCAAGCATTACCGCATCCTGTGTGCAGGAGCCATAAGCCAGCGGCACACGATACTTGTTTTGTGCTGGATTGCTTCCTGGATGGAAATACTCTGTTCTGATTGGTGGATTTCTGAAGACGGATTCTGATTGGTCCATCTTCAGAAATGCACCAATCAGAACAGAGTATTTCCATCCAGCAAGCAATCCAGCACAAAACAAGTATCGTGTGCCGCTGGCTTATGGCTCCTGCACACAGGACGCGGTAATGCTTGCCGCGCGGCGGAAGTCCGTGCGACAACCAATCAATATGCTGCTTTTCATAATAACCTTCTAGCTCTTACGGAAAAAAAACATATTGATTGGCTGTCGCGTGGACTTCCGCCGCGCGGCAAGCATTACCGCATCCTGTGTGCAAGAGCCATTAAGGACTACAGGAGTTATAGTAGAGACATCTTGCGGAGGACCCGAAACTAACGTTAGTATTTGGCCAAATTTTGAGTAAACTATAGAGAAAATCGTAATACATAGGTTGCGTTCCGTTTCACGCATTATGCGCGCGTTGTCTACAATATACGTAACACGAACTATAGATAAATGCGCGCATATACGTGAAACGGAACGCGGCCATAGATGTCTATACTAAACTAGATTGCTAACAAGGACTTCGAACGTGCATCCAATGACGTATATACATATGTCGGTATTCATAGGCTGCGTTCCACAAAGCGCATCATGTACATAATGCGCTGCGTTGGAGCAAAAAAGATACGAGAGTGAGATAAAAAAAGAGGAAGAGTACTCGGGTGATGTTCTCGAACGCATGAGAGCGCATGGATTACATTACCTCGGGAGCTGAGGCAGCCTATGCGCTCTCATGCATTCGAGAACATCACCTAAGTGCTCTCCCTCTCTTTTTATCTCACTCTCGTATCTCTTTCACTCTAATGCAGCGTATCATGTACATGATGCGCTCTGCGGAACGCAGCCATAGTTGGTCTTATTTTTAAGACTGCTTAAGTTCATCTTCAGATACTCCGTAGCCAATGAAATAATCCGTTCATCATCTGGAGATAAACTTAAGACGGCTTAAATATAAGATCTGACTATGAATATCGGCCATAGACCAAGCATCTGTCCGCAAAGTAAAGCCGGAAACTCCGATCGCCTGTGGAACGTTCAGATTCCTCATCCGGGTGCACTCTATCACTAGAAACACTATAGTATATGTTACATATACTATAACACTTCTAGTAATAGAATACACCCGTGTGGGGAATCTGAACGCAGCCCTGATTCGTTGCTCATTGCGAGTAGTAGCGTATAATAGAGATTCCCGATTCTTTCCCTAACAAATTTAGGGAAAAAGGGTTGTTCGTGCTGCTTGCATGTTTCATACTTTTCGCTTTTAAAAAGCCTAATCAGACGCCTAATCAGACAGCTTGAAAGAAACAATCGAGTTGGTTGTCTCGCTTTTGCTTCTTCCAAACATTCCAATATATTTCTGTCTAGTTTTAAATACGAAAAGTGCGAAAAGTGCATACAACACGAATAAGCCTATTTATGGGGAAAGAATTGAATCGATTCAGAATCGGGCATCTTTAGCGTATAACTCTGCTTGGAAGCCAATGGTTTACATCGTGCACTTGATACGCGTACTAAATAGTAATTTTCTATTAGATAATCTTAATATCGACAATACATATCAACAGCAATGCATTCTATCAATACAATACGTTTTGTTGATGAGTATTATACCAGCTTAATATACTGTTGTTTATATATATCATCGATATTAAGATTATCTAATAGAAAGTTACTATTTAGTACGCGTATCAAGTGCACGATATAAACCAAGTAGCCACGTGGTGACACAAGCGTGTACGCATGCGTGCAATATTAAGACAGTGATGGAAAATTTTCTTTGATCTGTCTTTCTCTTTTTGGGATAATCACGCGTTGAGAGGTGAGCGTACCTTGCAATAATTGATGATTTCAGTAATTGCTCGTGAAGTGACGCGTATTTCAATTATTTTAATATGTTTTGTTAATATTTATAAATTAACGAGTTAGTCTTTTTATATTAAAATTCATCTGTAAGTGTTTGTTTCACGTTGTCTCTCCTATATAACCTAAAAACACGTTGCTTACCATGTTGCATTCTTCTTGAAACGTTTGCATAGAAAATATTTTATTGGTACTAAAAATTTATTGATTTTGCTTAGATTGTATAAATAAATATATTGTCGCGTGTTATTAGTAACAAGTTAAATTTAATGACGTATCTAATTGATGATCATGTCTTACATGTATATTAATATAAATTAAGATTTCAATATGATTGTATATGTAATAAAACTCATTGTAGTATACGGTAATATAGTAATAATTCTTATAAAATATGTGAAAAATAATATGTTGTCAGGCTTTCAATCGTGGAATACTACGTGCACCATCATGCAACTAAAAATCCGTGGACAAGAAACGACAGTTGTTAATTGTCAAGATAATGACACAATACAACACATAAAGGTATTTATGATTATTCAAATATCATATTTTTTATCTTCATTCAATTTAATATCTATATCTATCTATATTTAAATAATAATTTTCATAAGAATGTAGCATTAAAATGATAATCTAGCATCTGTATACATATATTATGCTAGAATAAGCACTAATGCAAAAATAATATGGAAAAATATAATTGAGCAAAAATGTCTTTTGCTCTTTAATATATTTTCTACAAAATAGTTTTTATAATTAGCTTTTTTACAGTATATGATATGATACATTTATACAGGTGATAGAGAATCTATGTTTAATTAATAATATATTTTTTTTTCTTTTGCAGGAGAGGATTACATGCCTTCAAGGCATTGAGGAGTTTCATCTTTATTGTAATGGAGTTTTATTAACTAATGAAACTCCTGTGAATGAACTTGCCTCTGATACATTGGAGTTGACCATACCATTGTTGGGAGGTAAAATCATATACTAATTATACCAGAGATACTAAAAATTTAATAGCCTTACAGTATTTTATGTAACAGATACTTTTTTGTAACAGATACTTTTTTGGTTATGTTAACATAGAATACAATTGAAATTTTCTATAATTTTGTATAATTTGTTTTGTATAGATATATTTATCTTAATAATATTAAATATTCCTGTAAATATTTTTTAATTTTAGTGGTTATTATCTGTGTTAATGTTTTCTTACACACACACACACACACACATTTTTTATTGCTTATATATATTTTTTTGCTTATTTATAAAATTTACATAAAATGAATCATGTTTTTATATCACATTTTGCTCAAGCACATATGATATATGCCATGGGAATGTTTAATTTTACATAAAAGAAACTTATATTTTATTCTTTTCTGTTTAGGAAAAGTTCATGGGTCCTTGGCACGTGCTGGCAAAGTAAAGGCTCAGACACCGAAGGTAAGGGTTATTAAGAATTTGCCTTTTAAATTTATTGTCATAAATGTAAGGAATTAAGTCAATTTTATATCTTGTGTGCAGTGGATAAAAAAAATATTTACATTCCATCTTTTTAACATGATTATTGTATTAATAAACTTATGTTTATATTAACATCTATGTTATTAGGTTGAAAAACAAGAGAAGAGCAAGAAAAAGACTGGTCGTGCTAAACGACGTATCCAGTACAATCGCAGGTTTGTGAATGTCGTTCAGACCTTCGGCCGCCGACGTGGACCTAATGCAAATACAAATTCGTAAGAAACGTGTTATTATGAGATGAAATAAAGTGTAATCCTCTGAAATATCACAAGTTTTTTTTCGAATTTCCCAATAAACGATAATTTCTAACAAAAAACAGTACAGAGAAACTGGTGGCTCAGCTCAACTTAGAAACGTATAATAGCCCATTCAACAACGGATTAGACTTTCATTCTAAATATATCACGTCTAAGTGTTGAACTAAAAGCCTTTTTATTTTTAAATAATACGTCTCAGCAGAGGGCCTATATTTTTTGTCTTCTACAGATAACAAGACTACTACGTAATGATAATTATGCTGAATGATATGCTTAGAAATGCACATGGAAGAGGGTAAGGGAAATTTAGTGTAACAAAGTTAACTCGTAAAATGTATTCCGATTTATTAAATTTCACGTATGTCTAAATATGAGCTCTTTACACGTGTTACGTCATAATATATCAGAGTTTGATATCGAAGAACTTGTTATACATTTATTAATTGATAGTATGGTTTAAATTATCATACAATATGTAATAGATAATAATGCAACATGGCTATAACTAGGCACATACATGTAACAGTGAATCGCAAATAAAAAAATTATGTGTATTCTGAGCCTATTATAAAGTTGATATTTATATATATATATATTTATATGCGAATATAATATGATAATAATCGTTATGCTTTACTTTTATTTACAACACTGAAACGATTACTCTAACGAGTCGTTTTTACTATCATATACTTTAATAACAAATTTACTCGTGTTGCTCGTTACCAGAATGTCATTATACAGACAGATAGACAGACAGACAAACAGACAAACATATACATACATATATACATACATACATACATACATACATACATATATATATATATATGCATGTGTGTGTGTGTATATATCGTATATGCAGTACCGGAAAATTGTACAACGGACAATAAACAGTGGATTTAGCTGCAAAGCAATTAATCTTAGCTTATTTTTCGCAATTTCAAATGATCCACGAGAATTTATACTATATGTGTGCTACATATCTATACATATATATTTATATATATGTACTTAAATTTATCATACAAAAATATTTACATGTTTTTACTGTACTCAGGTGGCGAACACAAGCTGTACACACACCGTCTCTCCCTTTTCTTTCCTCTCTCTCTATATCTAATGTCACACCAACCGCGACAATATGTAACTCTTACGCTAGTATACACGCTTTATTACAAAATATCGGCTAAAGTACAAAGAAATATCAAATGCCAAAAATATGTCTGTTTTACATTTTTGAAATCGCAGCCGAAAGCAATGTGAAAAGGATTTTCTCTCTCTTTCGCTCTCATTGTTTGTCGACGGGAGATCCCTAATATCAGCATCCCAGAAATTTAGTTTTTTTTTTCTTCAAAATACTTTCTCTCGCGAAGAGTACATAAATATTTCAACTCAATTTTGCGCCTTACATTCTAATCACAGATCTCTAAACTTTGATATTCGCTTAAAAACCGATGATCAAGAGATTAAAATCGCGCGTATGTCCCCGGCACGTGTGTTGAAATCTTTCGCGATAACGCACCATTTTGCATTTCTTTGTTCAGATAATTCTGATCCGTTGTACTCGCAACCAAAAAGACTATGAGTCAAAGCTGAGGAAATTGTGCTCGACGCGCGCGACGAACATTTTACTTCGTACGTTACAAATGAAAGTATTCCCCTCTTATTCGCCAATATTGTGGTGTGTCTGACGTGTTCGTCAAAGATGAGCTTCCTGACAGGTTTTCTCTCCCCAATCTCATTTATTTAGGATTTCGCGTTGATTTTAATCGTCACTTGACGCAAGGTACTTTTTAGCATGTAACACAGTTTATAATTCCTACGAGTCTCTAGTGAATGTTTTGTTCTTTTCATTTCAGCTTTTTACCACCTAATTGTACTATAATTAGTTCGACAATGTATCCAGATACCTCTAATTACTGCGGAAAGTGAATAATTATTTATTTATGGCCCTGCAAAAATTCTCTTAAATACACCGTGTTAGAACGAAGTAACTAATTCTTCGTTGTTTTCCCCCTCAATGCTCATCGTCGTCGTTCGCTGTTTCCGACATGTGCACAAGTCACGAGAGTTGATCTGACTGAAGATACGCGTCGTCACGCATTGTAAAACGAAAGAGAAATTAACAACTCACTCGACGAAATTGGAACATGTTTCCTCTTCGCGCATCGATAACAATGAACATACTTATGTACATATACGCGTTTGACACAGCGCGCTCGCGCTGTCAAACCTATTCGAAGATTTGCACGCTAATTTCAATTATACACACATGTATACATACATACACACATACATACAGATCGCGTTTTCACTGGGTCGAATTGCAGAACGTTTGCACATTCCTAAATAAAAAGGAAAAAAAGTAATCGTCATGATTTATGCAAAATATGTGTTACGTAAAAACAAATTCGCCGACACACGCGTACGCATTACATTAAACGATCGCAGAACGCTCTCGTAGTCATTAACATAAATCTATTGCATCGCAAGCGACGAAGTAGAAACGCATGAATTTCTCGCTAATGCATACGACAGTTGCTCGAGACGCTTAATAAAACTAAATAAAAAAAAAATAAAAAAAAAAAAAATCGAGAACAAGCATTCTCTGAAGCGATTTTCTTTTATGCAATATAGCTTATACACAATTCTCTCGCTTTACTAAAATTATCGCGATTTATTCCTATGCTGCTTTAATACATTCTTCTTTTATCGTTCAGTAAGTTTCTTTTGTACTTGAATGAATGTACGAATGAATCGAGTTCTCAGAAAATCGGCGAATCCACGGAGGTGCTCTTTCGCTCTTTCATAAATTCTTCCCTCGCGAGGATCGCTTCGTTTAACTAATAAATGATAATCGTACATATGAGGCTTCCGTGAAAAAAAAGAAACGTACGATTGTATCGTACGATTGATCATGACAGATTTGCCTTGTTTTCTCTCAGATAACCGACGTGTCCTGACACGCACATCCTAAAATATAAACCATTTTAAAATAAATAGAGCTGAAGTTAAACACGCGTGTAAGCATAAATGCGTTACACCGCGTCTAATTAAAAAAAAGAAATATATATGTATGTGTCAAAATAATAGCAACTCACAAATGTCCAAAATAAAACTCAAATTTAAATTTCAACATTTACTCTTTATTATAAATAATTGGCCATCTTACAATGAAATATAAAATATAGAGACCTCTAGAGCCATGCTGCTGTATCTTTTTTCTCTCTTCCCTCTACTCTCTTTTTTTAAATTTTCTCTTTGTCTCCTGTTATGTCAAATAACAGCGTTTACACATCACGTTATTTTTACCCACATTTTGCACATGGTCTATTTATGAGTTAAGATTAAATATGCGTTTTTGTAATGTTAATATTATGCGTAAATAATATGTACAGACAAGTTTAATGATGCAAAGTGCACATTGTAGATAATGATAGCTAGTTTTTCTTTTTTTTTGTTAGCGGTTACGTCCGACACATCAGGATCGGCGTTGCTGATGCGCCTATCTCGTGCGTGTTCACGACTTTGATAACCTTATCAAAAAATTGGACTAATACTACATACGTAACAGTTATAGGGCACCATTTCATCGGTATAAAAAGTGTACGTCGTCCTTTCGAGAGAATACACTTTTGGCCGTTACCCGCGAAAGATACCGATATAGCTTTCAACAGGTCTCTGTTTTATATGCGTTACCTAAAATACTTGGCTACCGTCATTTTAGGCCACACGAATTCCGATCATGACATCACGTCATAAGAAATATATATAATCATATAAAGTATGTAAATCAACGTCCAGCGATGAATGTTAAGGTCGCAGGGATTGCGTACGTCTACCGAAGCGAACGATAAACTAAATTAAACGCTAAACTTTTCGTGAGGACTCTCTTCCTAAGTTAACTTGACAATAGTTTGATGAAATTCAATTAAGCGTTGCTTCAGCTTTTCTCCACTGGGAAATGTCTCCTTTCTATTTTGTAGCGGAACAAAAAAAAAAGAAAAAAAGAGAGAAAGAAATAAACCACGAACTTTCACCGGAAACTGACCTGGCTCGGGAATTCGTCTTTTACAGATACACTTATTCCCTGTCTTCTCCTTCGGAAAAGAGCTTATTATTAAAGCTTTCCACGCCTACGTGCGATAGGAAATAGATCGGTGAAGAAGGGGGCTAACTTTCTCAATAACTCGCGTCTTACCGCTGGCCGTAATCGAGGATATGAAGCAGAATCGAATGCGACATCGAGCCCCGGTCTCCAGATCCTTCCATGTAATCGGATAGATTCTGCATCTTTACAACTAATTTAGACACTTTTAACAATACTACCCTTTCCGCCGGTTACGATCTTGGCGCCGGATGATTGAAAAACGGCTTCTGCGGCTGCCCCGGCTGCGACTGTGCCGGGTACGTCTGGTTGGCTGTCGACGATGGTGGAGGCGGTTGTTGCTGCGGCGGTGTCGGCGACGTGAACTTGATCGTCGGCACTGTCAGATGCGGCGGGTACGGATTGGAGCCGGGCGGTGCCTGAGACGTCTGGGGTATCAAGAACGGCTGCGGCTGCTGTTGCTGCTGCGTTTGCTTGCTGTTGACGCCGGTCGCCTGTGACGTCACCGCGTTGCCGTACACCGGCTGCTGGGCCGTCGTGATCTGCGGCAACGTGAAACTCGGGTACAATACCGGCGCTGATTTGCTTTGAAACGGGGGATAATGAATGGGTGCGGAGCCGGGCGGTGGTATGTACGGCTGCGGCGGTAACTGCGGCAGCGGGTACGTCGGCGGGGTACTGGAGACCGAGGAGTGAGGCGGGGACACCTTGCGCGCCTTCAGTATTGCCTCGGCGGTCAAACCTACCGGCGAAACGATTATTGAATATCGAGCATTTGAACATTTTATATGAATTTCTTTTTCCATATAGGAAAAGAGAGTTCGATTTTGTACGTTTTTTCGCAAGACAAAAAGATGAATGAAACCAAAAGCTTTTAGATTTACAAAGCATTTGGACCTCATATGTCTTTAGCTTAAAAAGAATTTACACCTTAGCAGAAAATAAAAAGACTGAAGTCCAGTTAGAACTCGTGCTAGTAGAAAAGCAGAAACTGTCGGTCACCAGCCAACCACCAACTAGCGTGAGTTTTGACTGGCTTCTTTCTGTTTTCTACCTTTCTGCCAAAATGTGAATTCTTCTTTAATGGGCAAAGGTATCAGTTTCACATCCTGAAATCATTGCTACACTTTTCTTTCGTTCAGGTATGCTAAATAAATTTGAATGAACTAAACTGTAAATAACTGTAAAAAAATTGAGCTCTGAGCGAGACTTACCGTGCTTCCGAGCTCTCTCCTCCTCGTCGTCGCTGAGAAACAGCCCAAATTCACGCTTCAATCTCTCAGTGAGATTCTCTCGTTGACGTTCCACTAAAGTTGGCGCTGCGGACCAACCGATGGTACCTTCCTCTCCACCTATGGCAAGTAACCAACTCAATTTTTATCTTATCACCACATACGGATACCATCTTTACATGTTACTTTCGTACTCAAAGAACTTGAGTGAAATCGTATCTAATTACCGGAAAAGAACAGCTCAAGCTGATCATTATTTAAGGGGTAAAACCACTTTAGAAATTTCGGAAAATCGATATTTTTTTTTTGGCTTAAATGACACCCTAGGGTCTTAAAAATAAAAAGCAATAAGTCTTATAGCGAGGAAAAATTTTTAAAGTCGATTTTGAGCGCCTTTTGTGCAGTGCGCTATTGTGCCGATTTAAGAGTCGGATTTAGATTTAATACGCTGTTTTAGACGCGACGGAAATTTTCCTCCATTTCGCACTACGCTCTTCGTGAGCACGCTGAGGCCAATTTGGTTGTCAGCTACACTTATTTTTGAATTTTCGCTAAATTTTGATATAGGTTTTCTATTATGATGCGAGGAACATCTGGTGTTGTGGTTCAAGGAATCACGTTTTGTAATATTCAGTATTATGTTTGGAATTCGAGGTAAATATTATTATCATTAATTAATAATATTAATAATTAATAATGCAAGTATTAGGAGTTGATGTGGGCTCAATTTGTAATAATTTCTGTGTACAAGCTGATGCACGCCGCGTCAAATTTGCAGAGCGCAAGACGTTTGATGACGCAAAAGATGTTCGGAGGGCCTGTAAATCAACCAGGAAAGGAAAAGATGAGAATAATTTGGAAGAGTAATTGTATGGAGCAGGCATCGCAGATTGAAGTTACATTACAAATTTCTCGTGTTAAATAGAAAAAATTGTTACCGAAAACTTTAACTGCGTTTTTCTCGAATTCACGTTTTTCAAATCGGCTAGCAGCATAACTCAAACAATTTTTATCCAATTGACTTGAAATTTTAAGGGTATCTTCTTAAATAGATTCTCTAGAAAAGTACATAGGGATTTTACGATTACTTCAAAACTTTTCTGATTATAAACAAATTTGTACGGAATTTTTAGTAAAAAATGAAATTTCTCGGGTTGAAACAATTCGGGTTCGAGTCCCGGCCTAGCAGAACCGCGCTCTCGATATTTTTCTCTCTCTGGAACGAAAAAATACGCAGATCTCGGACGCACGGCGTCCCGCCGCCTAATATATGCCCTCCTCCTTCTATTCTTTCTTTATAGCTTCACCATTTTTAAAAAATGGTGAAAATCATTATATTTTTTTTATTTCCCTACGTACTTCCAAAGAAAATTTTATCTAGTTTCTAAAAATTTTTGGTTTTTTGTTCTAGGTGTAACCGTTCAAGAGATCTGCTGCTAGCCGCGAAAGGCCGCAACGAAAAAGTGGCTGCGCACGAGAAGTTGTACACGCGCCATTTTGAATAAACAAATTTTTTTAAAAATCATTTTACATACTTTAATATTTGTAGAATAAAGTCCTTAAAAGAGACTTTTTATTTTATTTATTTCTCATCTCTAAAAATGTCGTTAAAAATCAGGCTTATTTTTCTACAGTGACTTAGTTTCCACAGTGGTTTTATCCCTTAACAAGAGTCCTGGTAGATAAGCATAAGGGTGTTGTACTATTTTTTAGTACCTTTCTTCTCCTCACCCTCGGTGCCAGTGAAAAGCGGCAACGTGGTGAGGCCTTGTAGATCGAGAGAATGAGACAACATTTTGCAGCCCTCCTCGTCGGAACTGACTGACGAGGTGCCGCTGCTGGCACTGTCCGATCTATCTCGCGTCCCGCTCTTCTCCATCGCAGAGGTGTCGCTAGACTGTTCCGGTTCGGCGAGAGATCCTCCCGATGTTTGTTGCTTGCGCTTGCGATATTCCGATATAGACAACTATATAAATAAGAAACATTTTCCTTAAAACTCATTCTTGTCACAGACAACATGAAAATAGGCAAAATAAAACGTAAAAAAAATGATTATTTATTTATTGACGGGGGAATTATCCCTCTCTCACATATACGTCATACAAAAATTACAAAAAAAAAAGAAAACAAATGTCACAACTTTTAGACATGCATATATCTTATGCAGTGTTATCGTCACACACTATGCTTGACGAATTTTCCCCATAATCTTATGGATCGTTACAGTAGGCATAACATTTACACAAGAAACAATAAGATTTCCATTGTCGAATTTTGATTGGTCGAATTTAATTGGTCATTTGATTAGTCGAATTTTGTTGTTGTCAATTGGTCAAATAGTCTTTTTCTTTCGTCAATTGCCTATAATAATTATATGTATTACGTATTATATAATAATTCGTTCTTAGTTGCAGTCACCGTAAGTCAAAGTCGTTTACAGTTTAATTAAGCTTTGGAGGTTTAACTCAAAGGGTTAAACTAGTCTAACAAAGGACTAATTTTGACAATAAAGTAATACAAAGGATGCAACAATAACCAGCAACGAAAATTCTACACCACTCCTACCGTTCTAACCTTGCGCTTGACTGGAGGCAGTGCGTCCGGCTTGAAGGCCGATGGTGCTGGCATGTTATTCGGCACCACGGTCCTCGGATCTTTCAATCGTTTGATCTCCTTGGGTTTGGTCTCTTCCTCTTTGGCGGGCGTTTCTTCCGGTCGAGCTTCCGGTCGAGCTGGCGTCGTCGGGTCTTGCGTGTCCGTCGACGTGCGCTCGGGGGAATTTAATTTCGTCGTTTGAACTGTCGGTGGTGCGTTAGTTGCCTCGTTGTCGACGTCATTCTTCGCCACTTCGGCCGGTTCATCGTCCAGCTTCGCTTCCAAGAGCTCGCGCAGCGCGGTCGACAGCATCGACTTTTGCTCGCCATTCTTAGACTCTTCCGCAGTGTCCATGTCGATGGTGGACTCGATGATGGCCGCCTCGAAGTCCAACGCCGGCGTTTTCGACGCAACTAGCGGATCGGTCGTTTTCTTACGAATACGTTCGCTCAACGGCGGAATAGAGTGAAAGATCTTGGGGGGGTCGGTCACCGACTCCGTGTCTACATTCGACGAGGTCGATTCGAATACAGAGTCTTCCGAAGATACGACGAAGGCAGTCGACTCTTCCGTTTTCGCAGGTTCCTGACTGATGTCCTCGTTCGCCTCTTTCGCGTTGTCATCTGTGATGGCGACGAACTGCTCTTCCATCTTGGTGTCTAATTCTTTCAAAGGAGGCTCATCCTTATGATTGACGTTGAATAACTTAAAGGTAGGCTCGCAGAATTTCTCGTCATCCATGTCCTTGTCTTCAGAATCCGAATCCTCCTTGGAGCTCTCCATCAAGCCCTCGATCCCATCCATGCTTTTATCCCGTTCCGAGCTCGTTTCGATTTTTTCCTGGTAATCATTACCGTCGTCGCCGGTGATCTTCTTCATTTGCGCCTCGACGTCGAACTCGTCGATGGACGTGCTGTCATCCGACTTCTCGGCCTCTTGGCATTTGCCAATGGCTTCCTCCTCGGACGGCTTCTCGTTCTCGCTCGCGATATTCACGATCTCGGCGATACCGCCGCCGAATTCCAGCTGCATCTCGGCCACACGCTGCTTGAGGATCGCGTCAGGCTCCATGGCACATCGGTACCACGGCGGGGAGCTGAACTCCTCCATTTCGGTGTCGGGTTCATTCTGATCGATTATCTCGACCGTACCTGTAGTGACCTGTATCTGCGTCTCCTCCTCCTTTTTTGCGAAGGGCGATTGTATCTTCTTCGGGTGCGAATTTTCCACTTTAAGGTCGGCCGCTTCGTTCTTCATAGCTTTCAATTCATTCTTCGCTAACACCTTCGTGTCTGAATGTAATGCGGGGGATAAGCTATAATCGGGTTTTACATCATCTTCTTCGCATTTTGGTGAAATTTCTTCTTTTATCTCGGCGTTATCCGTTTTTATTATCGGAGATACATCCCTCATAACGACACCTTCTGTTTTCTCCTCACGCTTTATGAAAAAGTCTGATTGAGGAATGTCGATAGAGAGTTTCTCGCGAGCGACCGTCTCGTCGAGTTCCATGGTCTCTTCCTTTACAGACATCGGTTCAAAGTGTCTCTCGTCAATTTGTTCTATTATAGGCGATTGCGCTTGCTCCGTATATTCATCCTATAAAAAAATGACAAAATACTCAACGAATATTTCCGCAATGTTCTTTATACATGAAGAACGCTTACGATACGAGACAATAGAGTATTTATTTGTAGTTACGCCAAGTTATATTGTTTACACATAAAGTAAGCATATATATTTAACACGTTGACTGCTGTTAATTTTTGTTAATTTGCAATGGCTTAATCAATAATTGAATTATCAGAGTTACAGCTAATCAGTGTAATTAGAGACGTATATATCGATGTATCAGAGAAAGCTTATAGATGTGATTTTTAAAAAAATAGACGAACAAAAAACCCAAGTTCCTCATTGCAAAATCACCGATGCATTCTTTACGTATTAAATACCAATAAACCTAACGACAAAATAATAACCTAACTTACCTCGGCAGGACATAATAATCTGCTGTTGGATGCCGCTTCCGGCAATAACATAGTCGGCGTAGTCGGTGGAGTGTAATTGTCTGACGACAAGCTTTCCCGAGCAATTCTCCTTTTCTTAGGTGGTGCCACTGTTTCGAGGAGCGGCGGCGGGCTTTCAGGTCTGCTGTTCGGTGAGTCGCATTCTTCTGAGATTGCCTGACGTAACCATCTCTTTTTTGCCGAGCCAGTAGACACGGGACAGCCGCCGCCGTTGTTATTGTTGAAAGCGCTGTGGATAACCGCTGCCTGTTGTTTTCGCTGCTGCTGCGGTGGCGAGTCGCATATGCCCGACACTGAGTTGGCGGCTTGCACAAGTGTAGCCAAGCTTTTGGCAGCGTAACTCTGCGACAAAAATTCCGCGGACGGATCCACGGTGGTGGATGGCAGTGGGAAATCCGACTGCCTGATGCATAGCGCGGAATTTATAGAATTTGGTAAGGCCGACGCCGTTGGTAAGGCCGACAATGGGGATACTTGGGGTATTATGCTGGCTTGCGGCGGTGGTAGATCCGGCGATTCCTTCAGCCATTCGTTCATCAACACCTTCTTCGTTTTTGGAAACTTCAAGCCAGGCGCCAACGGGCCAACCGCGGCAGCCACCAACAGACAAGCAGACGACAACGGCGTAGATGGTGTGGAACTTTGGGAGCTACTGCTAGCACCACTGTCGCACGTTGGACTCTTCACCGGTGTAGGTTGCTGCAACGGTGGTGAACTCGGAGGACCTGGAGGTGCATTCGAGTTCGCCAGAGCTAATAGCAAGCCAGCCGCCGTAGGAATGCCCTGATGATGACCGGACGGTGCAGTATTGCTGACGTCGCTCGTGTCCTTTGCCGGTGTGTGTAACTGAGACGAATAAGAGACGTCTCCGCTTGGTGGGCGCGTTTGACTTAACAGAGGTGGCGACTGCATGGAATTGCTCTCGTCACCGGAGGATACGTCAGATTCCGCCGAGTTCAATCGCGTTCTTCGAGTGCTCTGTGACTGAGACGTGCTCGTAGTCCTTGCACGACCTTTCCTCCTCTTCCTCCGTAGAGGTCTCTCGGAGTTGGATTGCTTGCTCTTTGACTGACTCGTTGTGGAGTGATTGTCCTCGTTGTCACTGTGTGTGCCGCTGGATTCTTTTCGTTGCGCGTTTCTCGCTTGCACCTCCTGCTTTCTCTGTTCCGCCTTTTCCAATCTCTCAAATGCCTTCATGATCGCCTCCATCTTCCGCTCTTCCCTTGTCATCTTTTTCTTATCTTTCTTCGTTTCTGGCGGCGCCGACTGGCTGATACTAGGCGATGTTTGAGGTTGCTGCACCGAGGTTGCGGACGGTTCCTCTTTGGGAACTTGGCGAGTTATTGTGCTGGTAATTCCAGTCGTGACGGTCCTCCTAGGTGGTGGAGCAGTCACCGTCGATATCGTCGTTACGGTTGGGGTGGTTTGTGCAACACTTGTGCTGGGAACTGCTGGCGCGGGCTCGGTCTCCTCGCAGATAGTGTTCCTTCTACCTCGTCGCCGCCGTTCTCTACCACTATGTAGCAAAGAAACATACAATGTTAGTTTTTTACTATATTATACTAACCATATTATATATTTTATACATACACATACATACATACATATATATATATATATATATATATATATATATATATATATATATATATATATATATATATATATATATATATATATATATATATATATATATATATATATATATATATATATATATATATAAAATTTTGTTAATTATAAAATTTGACGTTTTATAATTATTACAAGCTTTTTAGCAGAAGCTATTTATCTTTTCAATCTTTGCACTTTGCAAAATAGATAGTTAATATCCATTCCAATTAACTTACTCGGCATTTTCGACGAGAGCACCGTTACTGCCTCTTCTATTTAGTTGGTTAGATGTGGCTATCTGACACTCCCGCGGATTGTTGCATGCGCAAACGACGGGCGATGTGGATGAATTCGGATTGGGGGAGAGCAGCAGGTCGTGCTGCTCGTGTTTGATGGTAATCTCGGCGTTTTTCTCGATCGCAGTAGTCGTCACGATGTACAGATGCAGTGTGCCCTTCTCGATGCAGTGCTTTACCTCGGCGTTAGGTTTACAGCTGCGTCGTACGAACCTGGCGTCGTTACCATAAGTCCGCGTGTCCACGCACACCTCGGTGCCGTCGCGCGGCAGACGATAGAAGAACACGAACGGTCCGGGCCGTTGAGCATGTTGCCTGCCTTGCGGATGCTGCGGTCTATGCTGCGTACTGAGCATATACTTGCCGCGCAATTCGACGACTGGAGTGTTCGGTGGAAGGTACGTAGTCGCCACTAGAAACTGCAATCGCAAGAAGGAACATGATAGTACACGTTTCACGAGATGAAAGAAACCGCGCTCCGCGTCTTACTTACTCTGAGATTGTTACTGTGCACGTTGAGTCTGCATTTACCGGTGGCGACGACGTTGATGTTACTCTGCCTGAGATCGCTATGCGTACCGTTCACCTTGATGCTCGATATCCTGGCCCGTAACTCGGGACTGTAGTGATTTGTGACTGCCTCCTCGTATCTCTCTATCCATTGTCGCAAGGGCGCCATATTCGACGATCCCCAGCCGTCCTGCGTGTCATCTTCCTTGTCCTCGACGCTCATTCTTCTCTTAGCTTTGCGTTTACCGGGCCCGCGCTTCGCTGCAACCTCCTTCTTGCGCACGGCACTCGATTGTCGCGGATGCGAGTCCCTTCTCTGCCGTTTCGCAACGTTGTTGTTGTTATTGTTGTTGTTGTTGTTGTTCAATCTTCGTACCTGTGCGGGTGCGTCGGACTTGGATCGTCTCGGGACGGACTGTTGTTGCGGGACCGAGCGTTTCTTTTGCGTCGCGTTCACCCCTACGTCAGTGTCCGCCGAACTCGTGGACGACGTGTCGGACGATGTGTCCGAGTTAAGTAGCTCCTCGCGCTTACGCATCTGCAAAGCGCGAGCTCGCTGTCTGTCCACTCGCCGTGGCCGACACCTCTCGCAGAGATATTCATCGGGAATGTTCGAACGGTCTATACCCATGCAATCTACATGTTGCCAAACTCTGTAATCACGTTTAATTTTCGAAAAATATTACATTTGCTATACACGACAAATTGTTTTTAAATCATTTTTATTTCATGAATGTACGTGAAATATGATGTGTCCTGTGATAACGTTGCCTTAAAACAGGGCTCGGCACATTTTGCCCATTTCGGCCGATTCTCGGGAGCTACGACTTCTACCTCCCCCTTGCCGCACGACGGGCTTAAAAAGTGACGGTCGTGCCTCTAAGCTTGGAGCCGCGACTGGCCGTGACCGTCACTTGCATGGCCCGCCGCGCGGCAAAGGGGAGATAAAAGGCGTAGTTCCCGAGAATCGGCCGAAATGGGCAAAATGTGCCGAGCCCTGCCTTAAAAAAGAATCTTAAAATATTTGTTATATGTTATAACATAATTAAAAAAATCCAGTAAGAATTAATTTTTCTACACTCGTATACATTTAAAATATTAATATAAACTTACAAACATCGGTCGCAACATATCATGTATCCATCGTCATGCTCGAAGTCACTAAAATTAATATTTTGTACACATGAGTATCAAATTATATATTACATATGATTCAGAAATTATATAGTTATATTAATTATATAGTTGTAAGAATAATCGTCTACTTACCAAATACATCGTGTAACACTGTCCTCATCATCGCCTTCACCTTCAGGAGCAGTTTCCGTCTCTTCTCCTTCCGGTTCAGCTTCACGTGCTTCGCTGCTGATAACACTAGCCGCATCATCTTCCACGTTGGTACTGCTCGCAACTTTAAATATATGCATAATAAGTTTATACATATACATATCAATATACATATTAATATATATATATATATATATATATATATATTAATGCATAAGTTAATATGAACGCACCAGATATCCGGGAATATCTCAGCGCTATGAAAACGTGGCAATTGCTTGAATCATCACTTTCCACTGTATTCTAAAAGCTCTGCGAGCGACTAAGGCCTTTTACATTTCTACCTGAGCTTTATACATACTGGAGTGTGCACTACCGTGGTGGGGGCCGAACCGGTAAAGCCCATATTCTGAGTTTTCTTTTAACGATAAATGAGCCTCTAAAGAAAACCTAGGAGCCACCTGATTGGCTGATATGCTATATTTAAGACTCTTTTATCTATAAAAGAGAGTTCAGAATATGGGCCTAAGAGGGCCACATCCAAGTTGTATCTTGCTCTCTGTCTTACTAACATTCTATAGTCTATTGCTACTATTTTTCTATAGTCTATTGCTACTAATTTTTTACAGTATACAGAGTGAGACTGAAAAAGGTACCAGATCTTTGAAGAGACATAGACGTTAGTCATATGAGAGTACGAATATATTATTATAAATACAAAATAAGGTCGGTGTTTTTATTTTTCTTTATAGTTAAGTTAATAATATACAAAATATGTTATTTTCAATGTAGGCTACATTTTTAGCTCAGGTAATACGTGATAGATAAAGACAGAGATTCCTTTAGGATACTATCTCTCTCGGTTTGCGTTCATTGAGGCAGAGACAAAGGCAGTGCACACTCCAGTACGTATAGAGCTCAATGCTCTTTCTACCTACTGTAATAAAATATAGATCTTTTTCTTTGTGACCAGAGTTATGTTTGGAAATTTCACTCGGATGCACCCGGGTGCACTTCGCGCCCTTCAGGTTACATCAAATGACAACGGTAAAGTCGTTCGGAAACCCTATTGGGTGTATTACGGGTGGAAGATTTTTCACTCTAAAATTTCAGAGCTGCATTCAAAAACTTTATTCGACGGATAGAACATGTGACATTTATTATGTATTTAATTAATCAATCATAATAAAGAAATCTTATCCTCTAATAAAGAAACTCATTTTGTCCAGATTAGACAATTAAATACTATTCTATCCGTCGAATGAAATTTTTGAACGTAGTTCAGGATAGAGTCGGGTAATTTGTTATATTTACGGCGGGATTTTTAAATAGCATTTTCGATTTGGTGCTCGATTCTGTTGCTTCCTAAACTCATAGCAGCCTCGATTACCAACTCTGAGAAATTTTACTTTTTTATATCATTCAAAATAAAACACTATGTATAAATGCTCTAAATATTGAGCTATTTTTTTAGCACAAGTTAACATCTTTTGGGTTCTTGAATTAAGCTCCAAAAGATGAAAGAAATTAGTGTATATCATTTGAAAAAGATTACTTGTAAGTGGCACTTTTTGAAATTAAATTGAAATAAATTCCTAATGTTAAAAAGAAAAGTTTTATTCAGCAAAAAAAAAAAAAAAAAAAAAAAAAAAAAAAAACAGTAGGCCAATTTTCTAACTTTATAACTAGCACGATGTCAGTAGCACGATAAGTTGTTGCGTAATTTTTCTACCGTGTATTATATTTGCGCAATAAAAACAATGATAACGACACTATCGCTAAAAGTTACAGAATCAGTATACTAGACTTACTCTTATTCTGGATGCTTAGCGAATATTAATTTTTAATTCCAAATCCAAATTTTCTTAGCTGAGTGTCACGTATAACGTCGTTTTAGCTTAAAAATCAAAAAGGCATATTTAGCGTTCGCTATATGTACAGAATACAGTGCCAGGCCTTATATTTTTTAATATATGCTCAATAGTTTCCGCGCAATTTGATATGGATACCCGGATAGCCGTGCGTTTTCAAAAGGAGTAACACAAAATAAGAAGAGATTTTGATAGAAAGTTTGATTTAAAGTCGCAAAAATTAACTCAAATAATGACGGCGATAAATCTCCAAGTCGCTACCTGGACAGAAAATGTACGGATGTTGAGAGGTAGTTGTAGAACTTCCAGCACCGTTAATGGGCTGTTGCTTCGGATGAGGAGGTGGTGATGGAGGTGGCGGTGTGCGAGGCGGTGGTGCCCCATAGTTATGATCTTGGAGCACAAATTGGAGACACTACAATTGAACAAGAATTTTTTTTAAGCTGTGCGATATTAAAGCTGCTTCATTAGATTACAGGATGACGATTAAAAAAAAAAAAAAACAATAAAAGTTCACAGATCTAGTAATGAATTGATTTTATTAAGAAATTATAGGTACCTCGTATGGAAGTGGCATTCTTCTCACTGGTGATTTAGGAGCGCTTTGCTCGTCTTCTTTAGACACCCGGAATTCGATATTGTTCCTAAAAAAACCATTCCATTTAGCACAGCGATGCTGATTGCGCTTATATAATATTTACATGAATTTTAACCCTTTGCGATTGTAGTGTGCTTTAACGCAGTAATAGCTTAGACATAGCTTGAACTACACTGCAAAGGCTTAATTAAATAAATTGTTTGAAGCATTAATTTACTCAAAAGTTTGGTTTTCTTTTAAATAATTTTTTGACGACTACCTATGAGGGATGTACACGAATATTGACAAAGGATTATAGACGATTACTTGATTGATAAACAAATTGTTTCCACTGGTTGCAATTAAGACAACTTTGTAAAATCTAACCAAACTTTTTGATTGACGTAATATTTACTCAAGTTTGGTCTAAATGTGCTAACACCATCACAACAACGTGCGAACAAAAAAATAAAAAAACATCAACACCTAGCAATAGTTCGTTGATGGAAAATATTTAGCTTACATGTCTTCGGGATCTTTTCGTGTTTCATTGGCCATTACGGGCAGCAAGCTCTTTAGTTGCCCGCTTTGTTGTCTAATTTGCTGTGACGCAGCAAACGGTGAGGACATTATCAGTTGTTTTTGTTGTATCACCTGTTGTTGTATTTTGATTGGTGAACTCTTATGCGCCATAATGTTCGACGCAACAGTTTGCTGTGGCAGCAACGTTTTAATACTCGCCTTTTGTACGATCGTCGACGTTGCTGAGCCCTTTAACGCGGTCACGTTCGTATTCAAAGAAGTCTTAATACCGCCTCCGCCGCCAACTTTCTGGACGTGATTCCTTTGTATAGGTTTCTGCGGCGGAATCGTTTTGATGCATCCGGGTTGTTTTTGAGCATTCTGCGAAGCGATCACATTTTGTTGCTGCTGCTGTTGCTGTATACTTTTCATGGATTGAACGTTGCTGTTCTTTTGCTGTGGAACTGCGTTTTGGGAGTTTGCAGCTTTCATAGGATTTACTACTTTCTGTGAGACAGTTTTCAAACCCGCTGGTTGTGAACTCTGTAACACCTGACCCTTCGTAGGTACTCCTATTCTCATTAGTGTCTGCTGTTGTTGCTGCATCTTAGAACTCATCACAGCCTGAGTTCTTTGATTGTTCGACATAGTTGTGATTACCTTTTGATGCACGTTAGTAATACTATGACTCTTTTGAATTTGTAGATTAGTTGCGTTCGCAGCAGACTGCTGTTGCTGCGATTTTTGCATCACGACTGGCTGCTGCTGTGCTGTCTGTAACAATTGTTGTTGCAATTGTACTGACGCTTGTGGCTGCTGCTGTTGGTGATGCGACGCTATTTGCTGTTGCTGCTGTTTGCTGACTGCAATCACACTAGAATTCTGCGGTATCTTCGGGATATTCGGTACGCTGTTGCTCTTGCAAACGTTGGCTGCGTTTTGTATCCGGCTGGTAACGTTGGTCATCGTCGACATAGTCTGGGACTTTTGCAACGTCGCTGTAGACTGTGATTTTGCATGAGGCATTTGCGTTTGTTGTTGCTGCAGGTTCGCAGTCTGTGTTCCGAGTGCCTGAACCTTGTGAATTCCTACTACAGTACTACCACACGATTTTGAGACGTTATTTAGCGGCGCAGCAGACTGCTGCTGCTGCCTGGTTACTACAGTAGTTTTCTGAGCTGTCTGCAGCTTCTGCAGACCCTGTTGCTGCGTTGTCTGTTGATTAACCGGATATTGCTGCTGTTGGATTTTATGATTAGAGTGATGGTGGACGCTGCTCAATACCTGCGACGTTACCTTTTGGTTGTTGCAAACGGATTGAGATGGCACTATCTTTTGTGCGTTCGCCGCGTTGATGGTCTGCGCCTTCTGTTGCTGCAGGTTACCACCGGTCCTAAGAGTTTTACCTTCTGACGCGGGATTCTGCTGAACCTTCTGCGCGTTCGCATTAGTTTGATTAACAGCGAACTGGTTGACCATCTGGCTAGTCAACACTTGCGGTTTCTGCTGCACGCCCTGTATCCTGGGTAGGGAGTTTCGTTGCACGGCAGTGGACTGATTGCCTACGACAGTCTTAACCTTGTGCAGATTCACGGTTTGCGACGGTTGACCGATGATACTTGATGTTTTCAAATGTATCCTCTGAATATGCGATATAGGGGCCGTACCGGTGGTGATAGTCTTTACCTGGTGCAACTTGTGTTGCAAGGTTGTTTGCACATTGCTAATTCCCGTCAGCTGCTGCTGCTGTTTACCATGGATGAGTTCGCCGACTGCAGTCTGATTTCTTACCGGCTGAACAGGCTGCGTGCATGCAGTCGCCTGTAAAGGATAGACAACGGGAGACGGTAACGACGTCGAGTTGGGTAATATTTGATTCGCCTGGGGGATGACATCAACTGCCATCGGAACGGTTTGCACTTGATGGCTACTGGTGGACGATGGTAGCTTCTGCGAGATAACCCGCGTCGTCAGTACTTGCGTGGTGTTTGTTCTCTGCATCTCTCTGGCGCCCTTAGCGACGGGGTAGGTCAGCACGGTTTTGACCTGCGTAGGGAAAGACGCAGCTCCCGCTGTCGGTAGCACTTCCTGCTGGTTATTGCCGGCAACATCTATCTTCTGCAACAAATGCGACGATCTGCCGTCGTTGACAACGGCGTCATCGTTGTTGCTACTCCTGCTGCCCAGGCTGGTCACCGCAGCGTTCGCCGCGGTGGTTGTGCAGGTAGCGGTTGTTAACGGACAGGCGATCAACAACGTTGGCGTTGCCGACTGCTGTCTATCGCTGATTCCTTTCTTCACCACGTTCTCCACTACCGCCGCCGGTTGTCCGACAGGATCCAGCTGTAGGACGAAACTCATGGTGGCATGGTGGTCTGCGCTCTGCACATACACCTTCTCTTCCGCTTCCAGTACGGACTTTGTTGTACCAGTTGTAACTTGTAACACCGCTTCATTGTCGATCGTACGCTCCTCGCCGCCGCCGCGCTGCTGCTGTTGTTTCTGCTGTTCACCGGCCGCGGACACCGGGGGAGGTGGGCCAGGCCCTGGGGACAGTTGCTCCCCACCGCCACCTGTTCCACCCCCCGATAGCTTGATTACCGATGGGGTCGACGTTTTGGTAGCCTTGTGAGCACGTTTCCAAGTGGAAACTCGAGCGAGTGAATTGCGACTGGTCCGAGGAAGGGCTAGTCCTCGTCCGGGGCCTCACCAAATGTCTTCGATTACGGCTATTTGAGGATCGTTGACCATAGACTGCAACAGAAATTGAAAATCCTGCTGATCATTATCGAGTCTAATAAAGTGAGTTATCGATCGTGTGGCTGCCGCGAGCCCCCGCGGGCCCTCGCGAGAAAGACGGAAGTGCTCGCGAGAGATCTCCGCGAATTCCGGCCAACTTTCTCGATAAGTACGCCGCGACAGCCGTTGTTCGGTCATCATCATTGACCAACGCACGACGAGTCTCGTACGTCAACGTTCGTGACTGCTTATCTCATAAAGAACCGCCCCGAGTGAGTATTGCAGCGAATATCGAGATTCAAGTTGGCAAATATTGAGATTTTTTAAGAGCTTCCTCTCCTCTTAGTTCCTGATCACTTCATCTTTTTTTTTTTAACCGACGCAAGTGTGTAATTCTGAGTCCTCCAAAAATTGCGTCCTCGACATGTTCATGATAGATAACCTCGTTTTTTCTGAAATCTCAATCTCATATTGACACTTCCTGTAAGACTACATCGTCCAACGATGTTATTAGTGGTGTTTGTAAGCAAAAAAGAAAGATAAATGAGACATACGCGCGCTGTCGTCAAGAGATAACGAACTGCGTGGAGAGTTCAACGCGGAGCGTATTGTTTAGTCACTTAATTATCATGCGATTATCACGACCGGGCTACTCGACGTGTATTCCAACATGCGATCGTTGTGAATCGATCGGCGATCTCTTTCCTTCGTCAATGCGGCACGACTGAACTACTAAATATTAAAGTTTCGCTCGCGTGCGTTAAACGGAGGTTAAACATTATGTTAAACGTTTATCGTGTCATAAAACGAATAAAAGAGTCGTTTAGAAGTCGCTTAAGACACACCGATCGACACATGACATTTGTGCATTTCCGATCATCGCTCTCACCTCCGTCGAGTCTTCAGGTAACTGATTAACTGCGACTACGCTAATGAATTATTCGGAAATTAAGTCAGCACGTACATGACGGAACGCCAGTCTGCTCGTCATGCAATCGTCGTTAAAGGTTAAACGAAGAAAACTGAAATATGAATCGCGCAATGGCGGGGTTAATGTCGGCAGCAATGGCGGCGAGTCGACTATCGATATTCTCGATTCGATAGGATCGAGAGCTCGATCGGAGGTCGGTCATTCGCTCAACATCGCGAAATGCGCTGCGGAGCAAAGTGAGTGACGTACGCGCGCAATTTGCCGCCGATATCGAACGCGCGAGGATACGACACAAGCTGGGAGGAGGAGGAGGAGGAGGAAGGGGAATTAGAAAGTCGCCCGAGTGCGATTTTCAGAATGTCTCGTCGGGCGACAGGCGAGCGCGAGAGAAGAGATTGCATCGGCTGGACCTTAAAAGAGCCGATTTTGCGAGAAAGAGAACGAGAGCCTTTTCTCTTTCTCGTGACCGACTTCAAGCGCATTGTTCAAGCTCGCGCGCGCGCGGAAAGGGAGACAGCCATTCCGCGAAACAATAATCACCTCGGACTCGAAGGCCTATATTAGATTTTTTTAATTAGATTTTGAATCATATAATATAATACTCGCATCATATAATATAATATCACATAATATGTGCGACATTTGTAATCGCGATTCAGCTGAAGAACTCATACCTAACTCCAAGTTCAAATCTGAGTATCTTATCTAAAGTAAGCTTCAAGTAATTAATATGGCTCTTACAGTTCACGTTAGAGCTAAAAGAAAATATAACGCGTTGCGTTTAAGATATGGACAGCTGTGTGGAGGCGTTAAATCCGTGACTACGCGAGTACCTTCGCCGAAGCGGTGCGTGAATAAAAGTTATCGATCTTTGAGAGTACCGTTCATGCTCTCAAGTTCGAGCACTGACCATTTCAAAAGTGTACGCCGTGCACAACATCGACAGATAGGCAGATCACGCGAGATAGGTATCAACAGCTAAATGCATCGATCGCGTTTCTAACTACTGTGATTATTCATGCGAACCGAGTTGCCCAGTTGCACTAACCAAGAGTGGTAAGCTAGCTGACAGTTAATACATGTATCTGTCTTTGTTTATTTTTAAAGAAAAACAAAGACACATACGATTTAACTGTTAGTTAGTCGGGCTACTGGACCTTAGGCCCGTATTAATAGTTAAAATTTGTCTTACATAAGACAACTTTACTTCAACTTTTATTCCGTGTTAGATCCAAGTTTTTCAGTTGAATTACAATATATATGACATTTATACATGTAATCGCGATCCAACTGAAAACTTCTCATTTAACTCTGAATCTAAACTCGAGTATCACGGTTGAGACGAGTTTCAAGTAGTAACTATTAATACGGGCTTTGCAGAATCGTTATTACCGAGACATCTATTCCTCGTAACTGAAGTTACACTTGTCGCCTTGAAAGTGAAATAAGTATATAACCGAGCGTTTTGAAAGGAGAAGAAACAGGGTTCCAGTGCGGCACTAGCGCGGCTAAAAGGAACACGCCTAAAGAAAGATCGCATCTTTTTTGCTAGTTTTTTTTTTTTTTTCAAACAGCGCCCGAGAATGAAGGCATCGACAAGTAAGCGCAACTATTCTCTGTGCGCGCCGGCTGCAATCATCCGAGGTAGCAGCTAGTGCGCGCGAGCGAGAATCATCGATCCCCGTGAACGCGTATCGCTGGTATCGGCTGAGTTCCATGCATCCACTCGACGCATTCGGTGAACATCGCCGCGCGGAATTAACGAGCTCTCGTAGCGACCCGCGGCGAAGTGCAACGCGTTCCTCGTCAGCGGTGGCGGCGGCGGCGACGTTGCGGGCTCGTCGTCTCGTCGTCGCGTTGGCAGCAATGGGGCATTCGCGGGCGACCTACTTCGCGTACCTCGACCCTCGCGCATTGATTCGCGCACCAAAATTGTTCCCCGACAGCAATTATTGTTCGATCATCCTTGCCCCCCGTGACCACGTCATCCGCCAATGTGTGCGTTTCCAAAATAGCGACCAACCATATTTTGGAAGCTGTCGGGAGGGAGGACTGGAAGAGGATTTGTCGAGTTCGTTGATTTCTTTTTCTATCAAGCATCGTTTGCTGTTGATTAAGATCGCCTGGTGATGGGCTCGGTGAAGTCAGAAGCTCCCTCGGAGGTGAAGGAGAATGACATGGGAGAACGCGCGCAGCGCGCAACAAACGCGACAAAAGCGCAACGCGTAAATCGCAGCGAGGCCGCGCGCTACCGAGCGGACGATAGTGCGCGAAGGAGCGAGTATTACGTATTTATCTGCTGGCAACAATGACCTCATCGTGTCGCGAACGTTACCATGAATTATTTACGATCGCGCGGGGAAACTTCTTTGTTCCCCACGAGCTGAACTGAACTGAGCTCCAAGCGACATGGTGAGCGCGCGAGTTCTAGTGTATTATTATGCGCTGAAATGCGACGGTTCCGGAGAAGTAGGTTGGTCGCATTTCCACGAGTTTCAAGTTCCAGTTAGCAAAAAACTAAACAAATGAAGGCCGATGTTCACTCGCACCGCAAAGTATCCATGAAAATCTCGTTTTCCGAATATTGAGGAAGCTCTTCAGCATGCCGTACTTCAAGAATCAAAGAGCGATATATATAATCAGATTATACATTTAGGATCGCCTCAGAAGTTTGTCTTCAAGTACTGTACAGATTATTTTCATTGGTTGCGGAACATTTGAGATGTATTTGAGTGATCTTAAATATACGATCGGATTATGAGCGGTATTCATAAACTGCGTTCGCTTTGGATGCTGATAAGACACTCCATCCTTGTTACTCATTGCATGCTAAAGCAAGATAGAATAATGCTTTCAGCACGAGAGCGACCAAACGAACATCAAGTCTTATATTTAAGATCTCTTTAGAAGGTTATCTTCAAATACGGATCACTTCATTGACTATGAAGATTGGAAGATGAGCATCGGAAAATGAGCTTAAGATGATCTTAAAAGATATAAGACTTGACTGTGAATACTATCCTATAAATATACCAAACATAGTTTCATTTTCTATTTAACATGGTCTTAAGTTTATCATCAGATACATTATAGCCAATTAAATAATCCATGCAGTATCTACAGATGAACTTAAATCGATCTTAAATATAAAATTTAACTATAAATACCGCTCTATGAATATCTCAACCGGATCTTACATTTAAAATCGTCTTTAGTTTATCTTTAGATGCACCGAAGTTAATGAAACGATTTGCACAGCAATGAAAGAAGAGCTTAGATCTTAGGTTAATATTCATAATTGGATCTTATGTTTCAGATCATCTTGAATTCATCATCACATGATCCGTAACTAATGGCTGCATTTAGTGGTTGCGCAACCGTTGAATAAAAATGATTAATGATTGGTGTATACTCTTTTAGAGTTCTACCAATAACGTACATCTTTCAAAAGTAGATTGCTCATTCCTTGTGTTCACTGAACGCAGCCAATAAAACGATCCATACAGCATCGGGAGATAAACTCAACAAGATGAACTTAAATACAAGATCTAATCACGAATACCGCTAAAAAAAAAACTCATGATGTATTCTTCCTTCATGTCTGCTGCAAGAAGACCAGGGGGTCGATTGTACATTAACTTTCTACTGTCTAAATTAATTTCTTATGTTTGAAAAATTTCTCATGTACATAATATGTTTAAAGTACTCAACAAGTACTTGTCAAGTAAGGTGACAATTTACTTTTCTATTCGTTCACTCTTCTAATTTTCACCAAGTCGTGTTAATACATAATTGACACCCTGTGATCGATAAATCATTGACCATCGATATTTTCACGTTACGTGAAGACCCGATCGCGGATAAAATGTCGATACATGCGGGTCGAGTATCCGACATGCTCTCGCTTGCGGTAACGTTATACCGCTCGCGGCGCTATCAATCGAGCGTCGCTGCCTCGTTGTCGGCCGCTGCCGTTTACAGCGGGTCGGTCGCTCGACACTTCCGCTGACCCTTTCAGGCTCTCTCGGTCGACGCATCATACAGGAAAACGGTGTTGCTCGCGCTCTCTCGCCTCCCTGCGGGT